GGCTAGCTTTCTTTAGACAAGCTTAGAACATTGACATTGCTGAGGTGGGTTATGTTATCTTCTACAAAATCTGTTTAGTTAATGAAGTATTGAATGTATCCTGCAACTTACTGAACACTCTGGGGACATAATACATTGTTAGGTATTGATTACTTATCAAAATTTCATAAGATTTTAAGTTTTGGGGATCTAGCATACAGTGTGGTGGCTGTAGCGAAAAGACAAATATATTTCAAAAGAAGAAAAATTTATTTCAAATAAGCAAGAATATTATTGTGGCAGATGTTCTCTGGTTTGAAAAATATGAAGATTCAAGGCTGTTCCAGGTTTGTGACTTAGATCTTTTTTATCATTAAATAACTTTTCTTGCAGAGAAATAAAATAGATAATGCAATAATATTTAGCAAGGAAAATATATTTATTCTTATTACTCACTGATGTTTCTTTTATAAAATGTTCATTCTAATTAAAAATAAATGTTTTCATTTAATGTCTCTTTCTCAAGTGACCTTTCTACACTGATATTTATAAAAGTTTCTTAGAATGCAAATGCTAAGGAGAAATAATATTTATAGAACATTTAAAATTTTGACTTTAGGGTTGGAGAGATGGATCAGCGGTAAAGAGCACTGACTGCTCTTGGAGAGGATGCAGGTTCAACTCCCAGCACCCTCATGTAGGCTAATAACCATCTGTAACTCCAGTTCCAGGGGTCTGACACCATCTTCTGACCTCTGCAGGTATTCCTTGACATGGGTGCGTTTACATACATGCAGGCAACAAATTCCAACAACGGAATACATACATGCATGACACACACACATATTCAATCTGTCATTCAATAAATGTGTACTGTCATTACTAAGGGTGTTGTTTTGTTTGTATCCTTAAACTTGGCTTAGAATATGTAGGAAAAGAAGCAGACATTCAGAAAGGGAGAAGTAAAAGATAACTTACTACTATGTATTATTTTCTCAAATTTGATGAGAACCATTGTGGGTGGGGAAAGAAACTCAGAACAATAGTATTTACTATTACTTGAGTGAGTATTTGGCTCTGAATTTTCACCTTATTTTTTGAGACAGGCTCACTCACTGAACCTGGAGCTCACTGCTTCCGCTAGACTAGCTAGCTGTGTTGTGAGCCCCTGGGATCCACCTGTCTCTGCCTCCTAGCACTGGGTTACAGGAGCATGCCACCATGCCCAACTTTTCTGTGGGTACTGGGGTTCAGGTCCCCATGCTTCCACTTTACCCATTGGGCAATTTCCTGAATCCCTCTTTTGGTTTTCTGAGACAGGGTCTTGCTATATGTAATCATATATGCTGGATAGTTTTGATTGTTGACTTGACACACCTGGGTAGAGGGAACCTCAATTGGTGAATTTCCTCCATTGGACTGGCCTGTGACCATGTCTGGGGGGGCATCTTCTTGATTATTGAATGATCTGGGAGGGCCCAGCCCACTGTGGGTGGTGTTACCCCTGCGCAGGTGGGTCTGTGTTGTATAAGAAAGCGGATTGAACAGATTTTCTGAGACAGGGTCTTGCTATATGTAATCATATATGCTGGATAGTTTTGATTGTTGACTTGACACACCTGGGTAGAGGGAACCTCAATTGGTGAATTTCCTCCATTGGACTGGCCTGTGACCATGTCTGGGGGGGCATCTTCTTGATTATTGAATGATCTGGGAGGGCCCAGCCCACTGTGGGTGGTATTACCCCTGCGCAGGTGGGTCTGTGTTGTATAAGAAAGCAGATTGAACAGGGGCCAGGGGAGCAAGGCAGTAAGCAGCATACCCCCATGGCCTGTGCTCCAGCTTCTGCCTACAGGTTTCTGCCCTGAGTTCTTACCTTGGGCTCCCTCAGTGATGAACTGTAACCTGGGAGTTGTAAGCCAAATAAACC